CAACAAACCTGTCGAGTCTGTCCTTCCCCTAGCTTAGCGAAATCGGGTTGGAGGACGTAAGGGATTATAGAGGAGCGGCCGGGTGCTGGCGCACCTGCCTCCATTGTCAGCGTACGCTGGGAAACCTTGAGCGAAAACATTTTAGAGCCTCGGGAGAAATCACCTTGACGTTAGTTTTCATAATTACTTCGTCTTCTTTAGGCCGCGCTCTGTATTCTCCATCGTGATTTTATGGGAGAGCAGAACAATTAATAAAACAGTGTCCAGACTTGTTCTAACGTCCTGTATCAAAAAAAAAAAAAAACTCCCGCTTCAAGAAACGAATATTTATTGAAGTTTTTAAAATTATTTTTAGCTTCTCACTTTAAGTCGTAATATTGCTTATATAATGGGAAAAAAGAATGTGAATTTATGTAGAATTACTGATTTCGATCCCGGCCACTGCCCCATTGGATTCGGATTATCATCGTACAGGAGTGCGATAAAAAGACAATAAAACTGTTCTCCACTATCGTCAGATACCTCCAGTTTATAACCTATAGAACACTTATTAGCACTTCTGGCCGCGCACGAGTAGTCGCAGAAAATGTTTAATAAAAACAACTTGCCCTTGCACTTTGAACAGAAAAAGCGACCACAAGTTTGAGGCAATGAGCTGTGTTGTCTATTTTTTTTTCAATTCTCTCCGTCCCAGGGTTTACAAATACAGCATGTTCTTTTCCAACCAGCTCGCCTGCCCTATGTATTTCTTGCAGATGATGTGCCGCGAATGATCATTACAGCAATGCGCAGCGGTTGTCAATGAACGGTGCACGCGCCGCACTCCGCACTCCGTACGCACTCCCCACTTCGTACATTTGGCTGTTCCGGCGGTCACTGCAGTGATTGAGCTCGAGCCAAAATTTGAATGTCCCGCAAGGCATCAATTGCGGCTAAGCCTAAGTGCAGTGCCAACGCAGTGCTCGAGTCCGACACATGAACCCCATTCAAATATCAGTCACGACAGTTCAGAAGGTATACCCGTGGTATATCAACGTCGTGGTTTTCCGAAACTGCGTCAGCAAACTTTGCGTAGGAGCTACTGCAAGAGGAGTTCGCTTGTGCTTTTAAAACTATACGAAAAAAAAAAAAACGCACAGTTCAGAGGCATTGCATGAGAGCATGAAGTTCGCATACTTCTGTCAGCATTCTTTTTTGAAGTGCTTAATCTTTAAATTCAGTATCGTTTCGTGGCAAAATTTATTATTATTGCATGATGAACGTTAAGATCCCACGTTAACTTCCGCAGAACTATCCGTCGGATAGTTCTGCGGATAGACGGATAGACGGATAGGCAAAACTATCCGTCTACAGTAGGAACAGTTTCAATCCAGAACAACTTTTGATTGCCTAGACCTCCTCACAGAAAATATGTACATACCTTTGAGTTTGTGACATGTCAAATAGAGTGCATTGCAGCAAACACCCGAAAACATAAACGGAATTTGTTAAACTTAATCACGGTGCTGTTTTTGTTTTGTTTTTGGAGCATGTGTTTCAAACTTTCGATGAATGCGTAGGATTTCTAGATTGCTGTAAAACAAGCAACTGAATAGCCGGTCTTCGCACTAAAGCGAAATGTGGAAGGGCGTTCTGTTAACGCTATAATATTGATCGGGACGCAGTAAAGACGATAGGCGGACATCAACGCCAGAGAAGAGGGCAAAAGTGAACTTGCGGGGCTCGTGACCTTTGTTTCTTTTGGGGAATGTCAGCCTGCAGGCCACAGTCTCTTTGCAATGACTACGGTCCTGTGGTGGTGCGGCTTGCCAAGCGATAAACACCCGGGGGTGTTCGGGTTCGTGGGCAGGCCGTTCCGCGGGACAAAAGCAGTCACCCGTGATCAAGGGACCGAGTTGGTTCCGAAACGTCGGGATTTTTGCTTTTTAATAAAGCTTGGTTAGAGTTTCTAAGTTGAAGATTTATCTATCGTTGAGGAGCGTCCTCCCTGTGCTGCCCATGCCGCGCCCCTTCCCGATAACTTGCGTCATGAAACCCTAAAGCTAGTACAACACGTTGTAAGCCAATTTTCTAACCGTGACACATCGAAAACTTAGAGAGACAATCCCTAACAGACCCCGGAATCGTGAAGCAAAATATAAAAACACAACCCTCCAAAAAAAAACAAAAAAAAAAAAACAACAACAACAAAAAAAGGTCATGTTTTGCATTTTGTACATTTTATTCCCTAAAAAGGGCCCCAACCACAACTTCAGAGTTGCTCACGAACACGTTTAGCTATTTCAGAGGTCGTTGTATTGGTCTTGGCATTCCTTTTATGCTCATTTAATCTGTCGTTAATGCGTCTTTATGTTTGACCTACACTGTAAAAAATGACCGTGAAATAAACAGTCACCTGACCGTGAACGTCACGGGGCGCCCACCGTAAAAAAAATACGGTATGTTGACAATGTTTTTCGAGTGAAAAGGGTACGGCGACGGGAGGAAAGAAGTGGAACGAGAGAAGGCACGGCGACGGAACGAAAGAAGCGGAACGTCCCAAGCGAGGCGCGCTACACACTCCGCACCACGCTCCAGACACACGCACGGCACGCACGTGATGTGTTGGGGGCCTTCTGCGCCTGCGTCGTCGGGCTGCTCTCCAGTTCGCGGCTCGCGCCTTGACCCTCGCCCACAGCCCTCGCCATCGCGCTGCCTTGCTTTCGCACCTTCGCCACCTTCGCCGCCTTGTCTGCTTTCGCGCCGTTAGCGCCGTTCCCCCCGTCGGGTCGCCATCTTTTGTTTCCCGAAGGAAGAAAACAAAGCGAGGAAAGTTTGCGGTAGGGAGCACGACCGTGGCTACCAAGACGGCTGACGGCGCAGTACTCGAGGCGTTTGGCGGGCCCAATAGTAAACGAACATAACGTGAGTATCATTTTGAATATGAATGTGGCAAGCACGATCTGATTCTGAGAAAATTAATGCCCGTTGCCGGCAAGATCGAGAAAGAGCCGACACCGACAAACCGGCAGCACGTGCGTTGACGGAGTGCATCGCTGGCCGGCTGTCGATCGTCGTTCGCGCTCCTTTTCGGGAAGGGAGCACAAGCGATTGAGAGCCAGCCAAAGATAGCTTCAGATTAATACTGCGCATTTTCGCGATTTGTAGGTCTTAGCTCTTTTCTCGCTTTAGTGAGGCAACGGCTTGAACAACCATGTTTGTTTGCCGTGTTTGTTCAAAGGGGTCAACCACGTTGGTCGAATATGTGCGTCATTATGACAGCCACGAGTTCGGAGCGCGGCAGATTCCATGTATGCACGCAACTTGTTGTTTGCAGTTCACTACTTATGTAGGGCTCAGATGTCACATCTTACGGTTTCATAAAGGTCAACTGCGCGCGAGTGGACCTCGGCTCGATTTAACGGGTGACGTAAACTTAACATTCACGCTCCAAGAGAACAAGCAATACTAAAGCAATTGCACCCTACCAGTACAGAAATGATGTATTTAAATACTCTTTCTTTTCTCGGACTATTATTTAGTGGAACACCCTGCCTGAGCAAGTTGTCAATTGTTGTAGTCCTCAATTATTTGAAGCACAGCTGAATGAATTGTTTGGTTAAATTTTGCATGTGGAAATGTTTATTTTTTGAGCATGCGTGGGTTGCTGCAACCTACCTGCGCTCGCCTCACACGGTGAGTGCGTGATTGAGTTATTTCTTTGTGTTGTTTTTTCCCCTCCTGTGTAGAACGACAGGGCCACAGTATTTCAAACGAATAAATAAATAAATTTCCAAATAAAAGCCAAAAGAAGTATGTCCAATCCTAGAACAATAAAAATCTAAAAACACTGATATATAAATATAAAGCAGGTCTCAGAGTTTAAATCAAATACAAATCATTTGAAGTGTTTCACATGTCTGTCAGACAATTCATGAAATCTACAATGGCTACCTATAGCCCATAGCGACAACACACATTTCCGAAGTTGCTAGTAGTGACAAATCATTTGATTTCTTTGCAGCCAATAGAAGTATGTGCTAGATGTAACGATGCAGCGTGTATCCATGCGAATGCAGTGGTCCTGTGCAACTGGGGAGAGAGAGCGTCTTCGAGGTTCCTGTTCAGTTTTGGTGGCACATGTCTCCCCTCCACTAACCAGGGAACATTTGCCTAGGTGCCTTCACGGCCCATCCTCTCCCTTTCTGGAGTAGAATTCTGACTGGCCTACACTCAAACAAGCTCACTCATAGTGGAGGGAAGGCAAATCGAGCCAAAATCTCATCTCCTGTCGGCAACAAGTAATTTATTGAAATTGCACCCTAGCAGAGTCCACAGATCGAGTGCATGCATTTCGCCGCAAGGCACTGCACATGCAAGATGGAGGCAGGTGAATAAAAACCCTTATCTGCTCTCGCAGTCAATCAAACAGCTTCAATTGCATGTATGCATACGCCAGTGGTCTTGGTGTTTCATCAGGCAGCTGGACTGGATTGTAATAACAAAGCTCAGAAATTAATTTTAGGGAAACATTTAAGCACAAAGCTAACACTGCCTCAACCTGGCTTGTAAAGGTGAAATAAACAAGAAAAAAAAAATAGAGCTTATCTTTCAAACTGATTTGCCCCTTCTGACCATTACATGTCATTTTATTGTGCCCATATACAACAAAACAACTCCAGCAATATTGCATATTTTGATATGCTCCCGCTTCTCACTGTAACGTTTTTGTATACAAGTTTAGTGTTTGGTCCCACCTGTTATAACTTGTGGGTCCTCAGGTTAGGAGAGCTGCAATAGGGAGGCATGAAGAGATGCATGCGGCTCACGAGCCGCAGTTTGGACCCACCTGATATTCTCTTTACTAAATATTTGAGTTTCTTCTAGTCTCTCCCTTCGGTCATGTATAGATATGTGACACATATGACTAAATTGACTAACTTTTCAGGTTACCAACTTGGATGAAATGTTTCTTTTATGGCACTGATGCTTATTGCAGAGGTTTCCTGAGCATAAACCCTGACCGTGGCACCAGAGCCAAGCGCTCCAAGTCAGAAGTGAGCAAGAAAGTACTTAACCTGGTCAAGAAAATAGCAGAGCTGGAGTGGAATGTGTGAGGCTGTAAGTATGATTCACTACAGTGTTCACTTAATAAATGGGAAGTGGACATGAGACTCATTTTGAAGAGAAGCAGAAGAAGGTGAAACAATTCAATGAGCGTAAGAGTCCACTGTCACTAGAGAGGAAGAATAATTCTCAGAGATATAGATGCAGGGATACATTTACCACTAACGAAGGGTATCTGAAGGTTTTGTAACAGACCACTGTCTTAACAAACTACAAGCCTTACTCACTGGTATAGTGTGTTTGTCTGCCAGTGATGGATTTACAAAAAAAATGTTTTCACTTTGTTTTTTGCAAAAAAAGAAAAATTGAATTCGGCGCTTTATTAGTACTTCTCGTGAGTCCGCACCTTTATCAAATTATCTCTGCTGGATAGCAAAACAATGATATCACACAGCTTATTTTAGAGCAAAATTTCCGGCTGTAGACAGGTACCTTGAAAGGTTCGTGAAATATTGAAAGCAATTTTGCAACTGTTACCCGTCTGGGAGGGGATGTGATGAGGTAGTTTACAATAATGGTTCTTCATTGATTCTGGCGAATGAGTGTATAATTTATGAAACGTTTGGGTAAAGTTGCATGAATTCTTTAATGCTGTGAAAAGGGGATGTCAGGTTTCAACAAATAATGTGTTTTGCCAGTCGAGTTTCATGGCAAAGGCCAGTGACTAACACTCTGGACAGACTGACATGTCACACTGACAGATGCAAATAGTGAATAAATGGTGGTCACTTAGCCATGATCCATGGCATCTAGTCGCCATTGTTCCAAAATAATTTGATGGCCTAGTTAATAAACATAGAACACCAAACTAGTGCAAAAGACTCCTTAATTTTTTAATTTTATTTTTATTTTTAATATTTTATCACTTAAGACTTTTCCTTATTATTTTTTATTATCTTTTTGTGATATATTTTTTTGTGATTTTACTTTTTTCTTTATTGTATTTTTTTCTCTTCCTGTTATATTAACGTCAATGTTGTCTTTGTCTTCCTCTTTCCTCTCATAAAATGTCAGTTGTAAGTAGTGCTCTGTCCTATCTCATTCTTTCTGTGTTCGTCTTTTGCGCTGATTTTGTGCATAATTGTTCGCGGAGTCCCACCCAGCTTGTCACCGTTCTGGGAATAATGGGATCACATAACCATCATCTGTGTGTGGTCACCTGTCCATACTGCAAATAGTGAATCGTTCATAGTCAGACGGTCACATAACCACACACAGCATGCACCTGAATGAGCCCAACACATTCTGACCTTTCATAGCTTTTGTGAGCATAATCAAGCTTGCCTAAATTTTTTCTTACATTGTTGTGATACTGCTCATGCCTACATTTCACCACACATTACTTCAGCCCATTATTATAGAAAGCAGTGAATAAGACCCTGCTTCATGGCTGGACCATCAGAGTGGGCTTGAGCAAATAATCAAAATTTATTGCTGCTCTGGGCAATATACTATTCAATTTTACTTTTGTAAAATTGATACTGTGCTTTCAAGTTTAGGAATTTTCGGCATTATGTATGGTCTGTCCAATCTAGTTAGCCACCACCGTTGGGCGCACTCTTAACCATACACTTGTGCACCACAAAGAGGTGGTACCCACAGGTTTCACACTGATTCTGCATATCTCGTCTCGCTGTAGCAGAGGCTCATGCTTGGGAAGGAAAGTTGTCATTTAAACATATGGTCCACATGTCTTTGAATAGACAGGGAAGTTGAGAAATGATAATCTGAAAATTCTAAGTTGGTGTAAGATTTCAAAAACCAAGTTGTTTGCTAGTACAGGGTCTCCTAAAAAGTTCACGCACTAACATGGCCCACAAATTTGAACATGTATATTATTTAGTGCATGGATTAAATGATGGAGATGTTAGTATTGTTGATCACAGTGTGGACATATGAAGTAGTAATATTTCTTGAACGGATATATTACTAGTTAAATTTACATGTTAGAATAAACATAAAAATCTTTGTTAAATGCAATTGTTGTGAATAACTATATTACAGAATTTTTGTCCCTAAACTTGACACTAGTGGTAACACAGGGGTGGGAAAGGAAAGCAGGCATTGTCTTCTAGTTTTGACAGGCAAACAGATGTATCTTAATGTAGTATTCACAACAGAATGAATAGGAAGTGTGCTTTCGAAATCCAAAACTTCCTTTTGTTGCTTGAAAATATATTTTTGGCTGGCCCAGAAGGTGCTCCGAAATTACTCTGACCGTTTACATCACATCAGCACTAGCTTGGAGTTACTTTCCTTGATTTTTTCAGTCTGTGGTTTTCTACTCATTCTGTTCTGTTTGAATATGTCTGTTGAAGGTCGGTCATCCTATGTGGGAACGAGGCATGCAACATGGAGCTCGAGCTCATTCAACACAAGGTCTTGGCACCAGGAAGATTTCAGCAGCCATAAGCAATGGCACTTGGGTCTAAATTTGGTGAGTATGATAATGATCGAGCACCCAGCTGCTTGTGTGAAAAAAAAATGGGGGGACACTTATGCTCGGCCTTAATGTATGACACGATAGCGGGAGGGCAGGGGGTGGAGGAGGAGAGGGGAGGGGGGGGGGGAAAGGGCAGGGAGGGCAGCAGTGGGGAGGGGGAATCCTATGATCCCTTGCATGCACAAGGGATCGTGGCGCAAAACATCGGAGGTTTTCTCGACATGCCGACGCTGGACGCCGGTTCTTTTGCTGCATTAACACTATTGGGTTGAAACATAACTTACCTAGCCTCGCTTAACTCAAGCATAGCTTTACTACGCTGCCTATAATTACATGAAAAAATGTCTATGTGATGCAAGAAATGAGACATGATTAGCATGCAGTCATATATTTTAAGAGAAATGATGCCATTGCTGTGCATCATTTCATGCATCTTATAGTGCATCTTATACATGGCAAATATAGGTCGATAAAATGAGAAGCATGTAAGTGGCAGCTGCATCACAAGCTGTCCATGTTTATTTTGGATATCATCTTAAATTGAAGTGCTGAGCACACTGCTTTAACCATTTGTTTATCTGAAGTGACACTAGGCACAGTGCACAGAGATTCTACTGCCAGCTAAGCCTGACGTTCGCAGCTCGCCCTGATGCAACCGGCCACGACTATTCATATCTCGTATGGTGTGAACATGTCAGAGAAAGATTAATGGTGCCTTTTCATTAGTGCACGGTGGCAAGAGAATTGCAGTCTCTGGGGGTGGGGAAAGACTAGTTCTACGTTAGTGCCAACAACAGTCAACCAGCTTAACTAGATGAAGAGGAGGAGTAAATTTCTATGTGTGCTGCTTAATTAATGTCAACCCCTGATTTTGAAAACAAACTCACTCAGCTCTTAAGTTGACAAATGTCTGTCTAGTAAGTGAATAGTAGGCTTTCCCATAAAATAGCTGTATTTTTTTGCAGCATTCTCTGCCAAACTTTGTGCATATCCTCTCATTCATTTGCCCAGGTATATAGGGGCTGTGCTGGGATACTGATATGGTATTCGAGAAAACCAGAATACATGTACTACATGGCTAATATATAGCTACTGAGATAAAATGAAGTTTGACTTGATTAGGAGAAGCTAAGCTAGAGGATGGGGGGGTTCAGTTGTCACATAAAGCTTCTTTCAAACATTGTAAGCAATATCAGCATCATTAGTTTCTTTGCACAGTGAATAAAGCGTGGCTAACATTATACAACATATCTGTTAAATTGCTTCTATTTTGGCACATTTACATATGTTATATTGATGACTGGTTTCTTTCTTTTCCAGATCAGAGGGTATATGGACCTGGGTCCTCATCATCCAAGTAAATAAATGTTCTGTTTTTATGTCTATCCTACACATAATTTATGCTGTGTTCTGGCTTAATTGCATTTGCATGTACATACACAACGATCGCATTGCAGACATGAAGACCATGCTACAATTACAATAAACAGCATGCCACATATATTACAGGCACAAAATGGCTAACCTAAGGAGACTTCATGACCCATTGTTTGATTCATTGTCTGTTGACCAGTAGTAGGAAGTAAATCGAAGCAGCAAAACATGTGCGGTGAAATGCTAAGCATGTCGCACAATGCGGTGGGAAGATGATAGAATTCGACAATGCTTACTTATGTCGAATTTTGAATACTTTCTGACGTGTTGTACGAAGTGCTAGCGCTTCATTGTGCCAGCATTTTGCACCTTCAATTTACTTCTTACGATGGCCAACTGGCAGTGAATTAAACGGTCAACATTTTTACGGTGACCATTAAATTAGCAGTCAGTTGACCGGCAAATAAACTGCCACCATGCCGTGATCTTAGCGGCAGTCAGTAAATCTCATTTACGGTCTGTTCAGCATCGCCCCGTAAAATTAACGGTACCTTTTTTTACTGCAACCGTTTAATTTACTGGGAGATTACGGTCAGGCAGTAAATTTGAATTTACGGTCTGCCGTATAAATTACGAGAAGTTGCTGGCAGCCAGAATGCCAGTCAACTTACCGTAATTTTGACGGCCCATTTTTTACAGTGTACATGCGTAGACCCGCAAGCTAGAGATATTTCATACACGACACTGTTCCAACAAACTGATTTTTCAAGATGACCCCTTTGCACTCATTCGTACCCGCGTGGAATGGCGCCATCCTGTTGGACTTGAAAGCGGAAATAGACACACCTATCTAAACCAAAGTCATTCGCATAAAAGCAGGAGCACAGGTTTAACCTGTGTGTCTGGGTTCTGTAAATAGTCTTTTTAAGGTCGAGCCCCCTTTCATCGTCCCTTTTGTGTCTGAACGTGTGTGTGTTCGCATTCTTTCACCACAGCATCATATATAGAATGGTTTTGTGCGCCTCATGCAGATGGTGTCGCGAAAACTCACCCAGATGTACCCAAATATCCGTCACTCCAGCCGCCGCGCGTGGTTTAAAGACCCGAGATATTACCGTATTTTGATTTGCATTTTACGAAACGGAATCGTGATATTTATTAAAAAAATAGACGTGATTTCTATCTTTTTTTTTAAGATAAACGATATAAAAATTACAAGCTGCGAATTCCTTCAGCAATAAAACCATTCCATCGCCCCTTTAAATATTTTTGTTTTCGATCCACCGCCCAGCCCGTCTCACGTTGTAATGTTACCTCTATTCGGTCGGAACCTTCGTATAACAGGGACATAATAAACGAAAACGACCTAAAATCCGCTCGCAGTTTACGCCAGGGCCGTAAGCTTGTCGAAGCTGGAACACACAAAATGTAATTTACGGAATGGCGTCTCGGCCCACCAGGCAGTGCGCCAGCGCCGTACATGAAGCAGTCAAGAAACTTCTCAAACTGACAAAATAAAAAAAGGATGGCTCCCAGAAGTTTTTACCCTAAAATATCCTAACGCGAACAGAGAGGGTCATCATACCAAGTGAAAAATTCCGACGATGTCCTGACTCCTCAGCACTCATAACTTCGGTTGGGCGAGGTAGGGCGCTGTGTAACAAAAACTTTGTGAAAAGTTGTGCCCTGAATGAGTATGGTCGCGGGCTTTTTATTTCATAATTTATTTGTACTATATATAAAGCGCGGTATAAATTAATATCGGGTAAGCTTCGAGAGTTCGCAAAAACGTCGTGCCCGCGGAACTTCAATAAATGCTGTCTTCACGCTTTCTCCACGATTTTATCTTTTTGCTATATATTTCCTAAGTTAAAAGTTTTTCGGTCGCTAGCGCGTGCAGCTGACTAAATTGGTTGTCACCGGAATGAACCTTTCAGTGTCTCCCACCGCTAAAGAAATTAATGGCGAGATATTTTTATTATCGTTTTAGCTACCCAGATTGTCTCACATTGGTTTATGTCCTCTATTTTACCGGATCAGACCAGCGACAAAGACATTTGTATCAGAAGCGTAAACAAGACCAATCTAAACCTCCTTTGAAGGTTACATGCTCAACCGTAAGCTTGTAAAAACTCGATCTCGCAAAATGTAAGCCACGGCATGGTGTGTCGGTCTGTCGATCTAGAGTTCCTGTATAGGCTCCCTACAGGAGCCAGAGTTGCGCGTTTGATTCCACGTGCCGCGTGCCGCCCTCGCCGCTATTCGCCGGGATCCGATCACGTGAGGAGCCGCATCAAGTGTCGTGCAGCAAAGTAGACGTTGCACGCGCCCCGGCGTACGTTCCCTGGCTTTTGAGCGCGCCTCGAACGCGCGGCGCTGCTATTCGCCGAATTCAGTCACGTGAGGAGCTGTATCCACATGCCATGCATGAACGCGCAACTCTGGCTCCCGTAGGGAGCCTATACACCTTTTCCGTCTAACCTCTACCCAGCGCGTAACGTGCGTAGCCTCGACTCGGCGACTCGGCGCACAGCGGGAATAGTTCTTCCGGTTCTAACGCTTCCGGTATGCGGGAGCAGGCCTAGCCGGCTGGCAAGATGCTCAAGTGGTGCGCGTTAAATGGGGTTTGAAGCCCTTGACAGCGAAGTGAGTTGTAATAAGGTGGGTTAATACGTCGATGTATCATGTCCGCGCATATTTGGCCATCGGGCTGCCACCGAACACAAGAGGTCGCAAAGCGAATGCGGCTGTAACGTATACACTTTGCATCGCTTCCCCGCTGATATCAGCGGGGAAGCGATGCAATATCAGCACATAAAAAAAAGCAAATAGGCAGTATAAAAACGGACATCTACAAGTGCAGTAATAGGCCTCGACAAGTCAAATGTAGAACGAATTTTGTAGCTTGTGGTGCAAATGTAAGACCCTGGGTGTAATGATTGTTATTGGCTACTCAAGCTTTGTTTTTCATTCCGATCATTCCTACGAGGATGTGCACTCTAATTTTGTGTGTTGCTCGGTAGCGACGCCCGTTAAAATACGTTAATGGAAACAATACGAAAAGAGGGCGCAAAATCGTCGTCGCCCTCCCCCCCCCCCCCCCCCCCCCCCCTTTCACCCCCATCTGCTGAATAGTTCCGACGCATCTGGGCGTCATACGAAGTAGAAATGTCCCGGTAACTAGCGATCGTACCTCGATGGTGCACCGTAACAATAAACCGTTCGGCCCGCGTCGCCAACTCCCATTGTGAGTATTTCTACGATTAAACGATGATACTTCTATGCCCAGGGTCGCCCTCGCTCGCTCCTAGAAACCCTCCATTAGTCATTCGCAGAAGGCTGTCATTCTTCACAAACAACAACACGCGAAGAGTAAACACTGGTACACGTCGTCAGGTTAAAGTGAACATGCCTCCGATTTCGATTACCGGCGACGCTGGCGACGAACCTCTCGGCGCTGCTGGCGCAACAACGGGCGCCATGAAGGCGAATAAACACGCCAGAACACAAGAATAATTCACACTTTCAATAACAAACAAATTAAGAACTCGCTTAAGGGAAAACAATGAAGATACGACGCACGGCGTCAATGAGGACAACGCGGGAGCTAGGAACAACGCTTCTCTCCGCATACCAAAATGGGCTCGCAACAACCGTACGCCAGACGGCGCGGCTGTCGCTGCAACACGCAAGATGGCGACGACTACGCGGAAAAGGTGTATACGGGAACTCTACGTCGACCGGCCCGCCAGCGCCCTTTATGAAACAGTCAGGTAACTTTTTGAACTTGGAAATAAATAGAAAAACGTAAAAAAGAAAAACGAAGAAAAAGGGAACGTCAGCAGTTTCAAAGAATCTGTGGAGCAAAAAAGAAAAAAGAAGTAAAGTAAAAGCATAAACTCCAGGATCGGATTTAACTTTCTCAAGGCTAGTCATCCACGTTCCCCCTTCGCAAAGGAAGCCTGGCCCGAGGGCAGGCATTCCCTTCCCATAATCCTTTCGAATCCCCAGGGGACTCCTGTAGCACCTCATTCTCTTTCCCCTTGCTCGCTCCTTCTATTTGAGAGAGGATATTCCTTCCGAAGGGGTGCTAGCGCACGCTGTGGGTGTTGTCACGCCGTCTAACTCCCTCGAACTCCTTTCTTAGAGTGTACACTCTAAGAAAAAATGTAGGAAAAAAGTAGCAACGGCGCGTCTTCCTCCCTTCTACTGGCGCGCCCCCAAGCGGACATGAGAAAAGCGAGGAACGAAATGTTTTTCTCCTTCTCCACGCAGACGGGAGAAAGCTTTCGCCCTCCCGACTCATCTTCTTTCGGTTTCGTTTTTCGAGCAGGTCGCGCACTTGTTTAATAAATAGCTGTTGAGTTGATTGAGCTTCAGCGGCAGCGAAGGCCGCCTGTAATTCCGTCTTCTCGTCCAAACGTGCAGAACATTTCGGTTGCATTGACGTTTTTATCACTAATTTCATCAAACGAGCAAACGAAGCCGCTAGAAACAGCGAAGTTCGGGAGCAGTGCCAGCAGCGCCACGTACACTGGGGGATGGCCGTCTCCGGATTGCGGGACTCGCGCGGCACGGAACTGCAGTAGCGAAAGCACGCGAAACTGTGTCGATGTTTTCGACGTTATGGAAACCGCAGGAACTGCGTCCAAGACAGGCAGGTTTTCCTGCCGGCTGCCTGGGTGCCTTCCGTCCTGAGTTCGGTTCTGTTTTCCGATGCAGAGCGCAACCGGCGTTCAACGTGGTTCTGTATTTGTGCGTGTCAGCAACATAGCTGCAACATCGTGATGGCAGTGTTGTGGGTTGTGAACAGAAGACTGGAATTATCACCGATGTGACCGTGTGTTCGCGTATCAGTGGTGTAACAAAAATATGAGATCGTAAACTGTCAGGCATTGATGCCGTTGGTCGGGCCTAGAGCACTATTTAGCTCTAGTCGGGCCGTGATCGGAGGGGGCGGGGTGTCGCAGGTTGACATTCCGCTTTACATTAAAAAGTTTAATACA